GCTTGTAACTAATTTAGCAGCTTAAAACCGCGCCCATGTATTATCTCACCGTTCCGTGGGGCAGAGTCAGGGCGGGCTCCGCGAGTTCTCTGCTTAGGGTCTCACGAGGTGGAAATCAAGGCATCAGCCAAGCGGGGGCTCTTAGGGGAGGATCTGGGGAGACTCCAGGCTCCTTCAGGGTGCTGGGAGAATGCAATTCCTGTGGTTGCAGGACTGAGGCCCCTGGTCTCTTCCTGGGTGTTGGGTGGGGGCTGCTCTCACCTCCCTGCCCTGAGACCCCTCCATCTCAGCGCCAGCCTCCCTGATGTCAAATCCCTCCTTTGGCCGCCATCTCTTTGACTTCCTTTTCTGCTGACAGCGGAGAAAAGTCTCTGCTTTCAAAGGCCTCCCGTGATTGGCTTAGAAACACCAGATAGTCTCCTTATCTCCTGATCTTACTAATCAACAGATGAATAACCTTAATTACATCTGCAAAACCCCTTTTGCCACAGTGGAGTAACAGCAGGGGGAAGGTGATGAGGCCCTCTTGGAACTGGGTCTGCCACGCGCCTTTCTGAGGCAGACGGGGCGCAGACAGAAGCCCCGTTTCCTCCCGGCTCGGAGGGCTGTAGGTAGTTCACACCCAGGACCAGGAGGGAGGCAGGCAGGAGTCCAGGAGTCGGGAGGAGGCCCCCCGGTGAGTTTACAGCCCCTGGCCCAGCGCAGGTTGGAGTCAACGGGTCAAGGAGGCTTCTGGACCAGATGACCTACTGGTCTCCCAAATCTCCAGGACAGCAGTCAGCCAAAGCAGTGGGTTCCACACACGGAGCACCTCCTATGTGTCTGGACTGGAAGAGTCAAAAGCCACAACATCTCACAGAAGAGCAAACTGAGGTGGAGAGCACGGCCCAGGCCACTGTGGGCTGCCAGCTCAGTGCCCGGCTCCAGAGCCAGTGTTCTAACCACTGAGGTGCCCTGCCACCCACGTGACCCGGCCCTGCAGCCACGGGGAGGCTGCGGCTTTGCTGTCACACGTAGCTCCCACGGCCGGTTGGGAGAGCCGGAGCAGCAAGGGCATAAGGATGGCTGTGACCTAAGCCTCGAGCTTCAGAGGGGCAGGGCTGGGCAGCAGGGTCCCAGCTGGGGTCGGGCTCCTCCAGGGGCCTGTCTCCTCCCAGGTAAACGGGGTGTAGCTAATGGCTCCCAGCGGCGGCAGGCCGCAGCCTGGGGACCTCAGCCTCTTTGGATTGAGAGGGAAACAGCCTCAAAGAGCCAGGCCTCCTGCCCACCACCTTCAGCCACTTCCTCCTCGAGTGGCCGGCTGGCCCGGAACACGAGCCCCCAGGCCAGGCCAGCACTTCACACTCCAGCTTGGCCACATCCTCCATGGGTGACTTGGTGGCGGGGGAGCCCCAGTTCCTTATGTCTTGAATTGGGGAAATGGGGGCTTGGAACCCTGAGATCTTGGGTTGGAGAATGAGGGACTTGGGGGGTTCCTGGGAGGGGGAGGGCTGCTCCCCAGAGGGAGGTGGGGGATGCTGATGCAGGGGCAGGGTGCCAGCTGGTCGCGGCCCCTCCCCCTGCCCATCCCAGAGTCTCCCTCCCCCCTTCCCAAAGGGGCTCACGGGCGTGGACCTCGCTGCTCCCAACTTCTAATTAAATGGCAGCAACTTTGACGTGGCAGGTGATCTTCTCGGGAAGCCTGGCTTTAAATTTAGCTCCCTCCCCAGCCAGCTCTTTGAAAAGGCTGCTCTCGGCAGTGAGGGAGAGAGCGTGAGTCATCCTCCAGGCCGCCAGCCCGCCCCGGGGGGGGGGGTGGGGGGGGCGGGTGCGGTGGGGGGGGAAGCATTTGCGGGGGAGCAGGCCTCCCGAAGGCAGAGACATAGTAAATAGGGAAGGGATTAAAGGCGACAGAGCGCGGAGCACCCTGCCACCTCGACTCACAGTAGGTGCTCAGAAATGGGAGCAACGTTCCCCACGCGGTCTGGGTAATTACCTGCACAGCCCCGACGCCCTTCACCTCTCCCCCAGCCCCGACCAGAGTGGAGACACACATGTTTGTTGAACGGGTCCACGTCGGCTGGTCTTCATGCTAGTCTCTGCTGATTCTCCCAGCGGCCCCACCAGCCCAAGCTGCCCTGATGGCAGGTGCACAGAGTGTGGGAGGCTGAAGATGCCCCCCACCCCAAAAGAGACCCCCGTCCTAGCCCCCGGAACCTGGGGACCTTATCGTATATGGCAACAAGAAAGGAGCTTCGTAGATCTGATTAAGGTCAGGATCTTGAGATGAGAGATTATCCTGGATTATCCGTGGGCCTTAAATGCAATCACAAGTGTCCTGAGAGGGAGCAGAGGGGCTCTGACACACACAGGGGCGCAGCCACGTGAAGACGGGGCAGACAGAGGTGGGAAGATGCTGGCCTTGAAGGCTGGCGTGACAAGGCCACAAGCCAAGGATGCCGGCAGCCACCAGGAGCTGGAAGAATTCTCCCAGAGAACCTCCCAGGGAGGCAGCCCTGTCCACACCTTCAGCCCAGTGAAAATGATTTGGGGATTTCTGGCCTCCAGAACTGTAAGAGAATAAACATATGCTGTTTTAAGCTACAAGTTTGTGAATATTGCTTATGGCAGCCCCAGGAAACCAGTGCACAGGAGTTGGGAGAAGCGAACTTGCCCAAGGTTACACAGCTGGTGAATGGCCAGGCTGAGATTCAACCCTAAGTCCGGCCAGTTCCAAAGCCTGCGCATTTTTCTGCCCACTCTACCACCACCTGGAAGGACGGAAGGGCCACTCCTGCAGATCAAGGCCCTCATTTATTTGGGAAAATCAACAGGACCGTCTTCTGTTTGATACAGCCTCTCGTTTAATCTTCATGCTGACTCTGGGGTGAGTGGAATCATTTCAGTTTTGCAGATGAGAAAACTGAGGCACAGGGAGGCAAAGTGGCTTTGCCCGAGGTCGGGGAGCCTGACTGCAGGGAAAGGAAGGCACAGGGCCCTTGGGAGCACACTGAGCGCAGCCCAGCCTAGCACAGAGGATGGTCAGCTCTCAACCCAGTCCCACCCGCCTCCAGCACTGGGCCCTTCGGTCTGTTTCTTAACCTCCTTGGTCCTTGGTTTCTATCATCCCGTGGGATGATCAGGTTCCCCACTCTTGGGAGGGTTTGCAGAAGCTGGGTGAAGTGCTTCAAATATCCTGCCTCATTTAATCTGCGAAACGTCTTGTGAGGGAGACGTTTGCTGAGACCTCTTTAGGGAAGAAAACTGTCACAGGTGGGGAGCCTGGGCTTGGAAGTCGGGGGCATCTGGGCTGGAGCCCCGGTTCTGTCCCTTGGCAGCTGTGTGGCTCAGGGCAGGTGCTCTAACCTCTCTGAGCCTCAGTTGCCTTACCTGTAAAACGGGGAAGACACTACCCAGCACTGTGGTGAGATCTAAGTAAAATAAGGTGTATGAAGGGCTCAGCCTAGTTTCCGGCGAGGTTCAATCAACATCTGTAAAAATGGCGCCAGATCCAATGACGTGGGAGACACAGAGTTTGCCCCGGTGGGATCAACCTGCCTTCTAGAGCACTCAAGACCACACTCCCTAACCCTGAACGACATAAACCATCCTCATTGCCGTCCCCTCCCTCTGCGGGGCCTTTGAAAAGGGTGCAGTGTCCCCCCACGTGCACTTCTTTACCACCAGAGGTCACTGGGCCAGGGACAGGTGGGGGTGAAGGTGGGGAAACTGAGGCTTAGTGGGGTTGGCTCACTGGCCCCAGGCCACACAGTGAGTCTAGCACGGGGTTGTCCGGCAGGTGAGGGGTGAAATGGGGGTGGGGGTGGGCTGCTGGGGAGGAGAGGTGGAGAGATGGGGGCCCGGAGCAGGAGAGGGGTACCACCGCCTGGGGAAGTCGGGTTTTCTCATTGAAAACTGCACAGAAGACCTTGTCTGATGTGAAGGATTCTCCTGCCCAAGTCTGACCCTGCCATGGACCACCTCCGCCTGACCCTGACTTTGACCACCTCCCGCGGTGGCGGGGGGGGGCGGGGGGGCTGGCTGGAAGGAATGTCTTGCTTAGCACCGCAGGGGGAGGGGCACTGCAGGTGGGGCCCTCCAGTGGCAGGCTGCGGGAGGGGCGGCAGGAGGGGCTGGCAGGACAGCGGCCACCTGGCTGGAGCGGGTGTGGTGTTCCCGCAGGGAGGGGCTGGGGGAGCCCGCCTCCCAGCAGCCGGGCCTGGCCGAAGGCTGGGGAGCCGCCAGGGAGGAGGCAGGTGAGCTCGTGCGGTGGGGCTGGGGAGACAGAGAATCAGAGATGGGGTGCCGGGAGGAGGAGAGAAAGCAGAAAGGGAAGGAACAGGAGGAAAAGAGGGAGGAGAGGGGAAAAGGAAAGGAAAAGTGGAAAGGAAGGAAAGGGGGGGAGGAAAGAAAGTGAGAAGAGAGTGGAACACAAAAGAAAGGAAGGAAGAGATTGCAAAAGGGAAAAAACGAAGACAACATGCACGGGGAGAGAGCGCGCGAGAGGGGAGAAAGAGATTGCGAAAGAAAAAAATGAGAAGAGGAGGGCGAGAGAGAGAG